CCTTAATGCAAACCCTGGTCCATAAGCGTCTCGGATCTCTCCGAACTTGTTTTACGTGGCGTGTTCCACACTGAAGGGATTACGACCACGGCACTCGAATATACCCACAAGGGGTATATACCCCCATGCACTATATAGTGCATGGGCACGGATTAGAAGCTATAGCTATGTACATAGCGACCAGACGCAGATGCGAAGACGCAGGATGGTACCAGGGTAGCGTTAAGGTAATTGCCTGCCAAGACGCGTCATCGGTAGAGACCTACAAGCGAATGGTAGCATCGTTAAGCTGGTGGCAGTTGACTGGGAGGAGATCCCAAGCAAACCGAGGGCGCGAGTGTGGCTCACAGAAAAGCAAGCGGACCCTAAGACCATCCCCACTATGCTTAGGATGTGCAATCCGACGCTTTGCACGGCGGACTGGGGAATCGCCAAGGTCGAGAAGGCGGTGGGACTGCGGAGGCAGGTCGTCCTCACGCTCAACGAGGAGACGGTGAAAGCCCTGGAAAGGTCGGAGCACCGGATTAAGTGTAGATTCGATCCGTATGCGAAGAGCAAACCAGGAAAAATCGGGCTGGAGGCAGACGCGCAAGTGCCAGATTTGGAGGAGCCGACCAAAGAGGGGCACCTGGAACGAATGTCAGATGAGGAGGAGGACATCCAGGAAGGGTACACCTCAGAGGAGAGCGACTTGGCAAGGGCACTTAAAGGCGTCGGAATGGAGGAGGACTCTCTGTTGAGCTCCGAGACGGAGCCAGAAATTACTGTGGTGGAGAATCGTAAGAAGGTACCTGACAATCTTGCAGTTGAACCTCCACCACCGTAAAACGGCGTCAGCTGCTCTCCTACTCCACCTCGCCGAGAGTGGAGCTGATGGGGCCCTCATCCAGGAACCCTTGATCCTTGGAGACTGGATTCTTGGGTTGGGGCGTCGGAGTATAGGCTCTGCAAGGCCGAACAACAGGTAAAAGGCGAGCCTGCATCCTCGCAAAAAGAACCTTAACCTATCTTTTTTGCTACCCAATTTCAGTAATGAAGATCACGTAGCCGCAGCCATGGGAAGCCTAAAGGGTCCGCTAAGGGTGTGGTCGGCGTATACGGGCCACGACCAGGAAGCCCTCCCCCCGCACCTACTACTCAAACAGCTGGTGGGAGACAGCAGGAAGCATAAGATCGACCGGATCATAGGTTGCGATGCCAACGCCCATCATCATCAGTGTGGAAGCACTGACATGAACGAGAGGTGTGAGTCAATCTTCGATTTTATCCTAGGCTCTAATCTTCTGGTGGGTTATAGGGGTACAGAACCCACCTTCATAGTCAAGAACAGAAGGGAAGTACTTCACATTACTCTTTACTTTGACTCCCTAGCTGACAAGATTGTTAGATGGGGATTGCTAGAGAAACACTCTTTCTCGGACCATCGATACATAGAATTAGTGGTCAATTTTGAGAACTTTAATCGACTAACAGAACGCAACCCAAGAAAAGCGAACTAGGAGTTATAAAACTAGAAAGATCCTTGGGAAGATCCAGCAAGGGACGTTGACAGTAGGGAAGTCCTGGATGACATGGTGGACACGTGAACGGCGATGTGCGCCAAGGCATTCAATAAAGCTTCTCCCAAAAGCAGATCAGGCAGTAGCAAGTCAAAGAAACCAACATGGTGGTCGCAAACATTTGCGCCCTTTAAGACCAGGACCCGCAAAGCCTTTAATTTCGCCAGTAAGGCGAACACGGAGACAGCATGGGAGACGTACAAAGCGAACCTTAGGCAATGCAACAAAGAACGGCGTAGGGCAACCTTCCCGACTCCGGAAGGTCCTCGCAACAACTGCACCAAACGTAGAATACATTAATACCTCAGAAGGTAACTTGACAACGTCCAGCAAAGAAAACCTGGAGGCTCTCACAGAGGTACACTTCCCGGGATACTCTCTAGAAGAAACAACCCTGGAAACGCTGAGACAGGGGGACAGCCCCTCCTTCCCTAACCAACTCGAATATCTATTGAGTGACAGGTATCTCAGCTGGGCGATAAACAGCTTCAAGCCTTTCAAATCCCCAGGCCCAGATGGCATTGTCCCGGCTCAACTTATTAAAGCCGGACCCATAATGAGGTCATGGGTCAGGAAAGCTTTTTCAGTAATTTTCAGAATAGGCATCGTTTACGCAATGTGCTTGCGGACGAAGGTCGTATTCATACCCAAGGCGGAAAAACCATCGCACTACACCCCTAAGGACTTCAGACCTATATGCCTGTCGTCCTTCCTTTTCAAGACAATAGAGAGACTAATCAGCCTCCACATTAATCTTACCATCAACCCAGATGATATCTCGGAATCACAGCATGCATCCTACCATGCTTGATAATCAATGCGCTGACGGGACTACGAATAGACGATCAATCCGTACGCCTTAGAAAGCAGATCCTGGTAAATCTATTCAAAGATAAATCAGAAGAGGCACTCAGCAAGGAGGCGTACTCTCACCCCTACTGTGGATCGTGGCGGTTAATAGCCTACTACGATCCCTAGAAGGTGGTGGTTGCAAAGTTATCGCTTTTGCGGATGATGTCGCCATTGCGTTCCCTGGGAAATTTCCCCAGACTGTGAGCGCATGACGGACAAATTTAGGGTTCTCTCAACATTGGCAGTTAGGAATGGACTAGGTGTAAACCCATCTAAAACCGAGCATGTCCCCTTCACCAGGAAGTACAAAATAAGTAGGGATTACGTACCTAGGGATTACGCTAGACAGGAAACTGGACTTCACTCAAACACTATGGATAGAGCTAAAAAGGCAACAATCGCGCTTTATACATGCCGAATAGCCATTGGCCTCAAATGGGGAATGCCCCCAAATATAGTCAGATGGCTTTAAACAGTGGTCATAAGACCCATCCTTTTCTACGGGGTATAGGTTTGGTGGCCTGCTGTCACAGACTCCACATGTATGCAGAGATTTTGGAAAATGCCAAGGATGGCGGAGTTCTGCATTACAGGCAGCCTACGTACCACATTAACAGACGCCCTTCATACTCGACCTTTTACCTGTAGAGATAGTGGGGGCCAAGATAGCCACGCTATCGGCAATTAGGCTACGCGAGACGGGCATATGGAAAAGGACCGACTATGGACATACCAAGTTGGACTTACACCACTGCACGCCAATGGGGGCTACAGACTACTGCGTACCTGTTGATCATCCAACCTTAAAATATATGGTATCCATTACAACAAGGGAGGAATGGATGACACAAATCCCGGGACCAGCCGGTTCCCTACATATTTACAAATTTGGTTCAAAATTGAATGGCCAGGTGGGAGGCGATTTCCATTGCGAACGCCTGTGTCTAAATGAGTCCTTCAGACTCCTCAACCACTGTAGTGTGTTCCAAGCAGAAGTAATAGCTATCGGGGAAGCACTTAGATCCCCAGCACTTACTGGCAGTCAAGATACAATCTGTATCTTCTCAGACAGTCAAGCGGCACTCAAGGCCCTTGACGGATTTTGATCCAACTCCAGGACAGTGAATGACTGTGGCAGATCTCTTAACGAGATGGCAGAACAGTATGACATCCACCTCATATAGGTGCCTGGACATTGGTACCACGAGGGAAATTGCACCGCTGATGAACTGGCAAGGGCAGGTACTACCAATCCTCTCCTCCCGGAAAAGGAACCAGAAGGCATTCCCTTAGCTACGTGTGGGCTAAAATGCAGGGATCACTTTGACCGCGCAGAGCTGAGAAAATGGAGAAATCTTTAAAAGTTCAGGAACTCACGAATGATATGGTCTATCCGCTCTAGGAAAAGATCAATGATGCTTATTTCCCTCAATAAACAGGACTGCAGTGTGGCATTCAAGGCCGTTGCGCCCTTCATTCGTAAATATGGATAGGACCTCGAGCTGTCACAGCAAACATAGCATAATCTTGGGCACATTAGTAGATTGGAGGGGGGAGGTCCCCTTGTACAAGGAGCACAAAGAGCCCCAGCGGCAAAAGTGGAAGGGGGTGTCAGTGACTGGCTCCGCATCGCCGCCTCACCCTAACCTAATAGTTGTATTTTTGGTTTTCTTCGTTAACAATCAAGAATTGTTTTTATAATTGATTTTTATTAGGAAAGTTTTTTCCTAATATTTGTAAACTCATAATTTTTTATTTTTAGTCCTTGGCTAAAAGACTAACCAACTTAAAAGTTGCTTGGTGTTGTTGATAATTGGATGAAGGTTTTCTTTTACAAAAATTGTATTCAATTATTATATTATATTGAAAACTCTGTTTTTAGGTAGCTAAGGGAAGTTATACACTTGCATAGGTGAGTGGAGTAAAACATTCAAATTTAAAGAGTAAAAAAGGAAGGAAAGCTCATTTCGGGGGGAGCCGAAGTTGATATACCCTTGCAGATAAAACCAGATGTATATCGCAAACATCAGATATAGTTGGCTAATCCTTCTAAGAATTTCAACTTAGTATAATCTTAGAACTTAGTATAATCTGTACTAAGTTCCAGCTATCTTCAAAAACACGAAAGTTGGGTCATTTTCCATCGTTCATTTATAAGGCAGCTATAGGTTATATTCGACCGATCCCGGTCATTTCGCCTTATATACTGCGTGCAAAGGAAAAAAGGGTGGATGAAAAGTTTCAAGTCAATAGCTTTAACACTGAGAGACTAGTTCGCGTAGATACAGATATACGGACAGACAGACATGCTTCCATCAATTAAGGAGGTGATCCTAGTCAAGAATATATATACTTTAAAGGTCGGAAATGTCTCCTTCACTGCGTTGCACACTTTTGACCAAAATTATAATACCCTCTGCAAGGGTATAAAAATAAAGAAAGATGAAGAGAAAGAATAATACTTGTGAGACATGTGATATAACAACTATATAAGCCAAAACAAAAAACTATATGGTACTTTGAATGTAGTTAATTTCATCATTAGACAACTAAAGAAAATTAAGAACTATATATACATGTAATACCTACCATATTAACTTCTGATATTGCGTCAAAGCTTGCAATAGTTAAGTCCATTCCCACATGAAGAGGTTCTCGACCAAAATTGGGTCTGAGGCGTATATCGTACCCTTGAAGTATCATTGAAATTGTTTGAGTCACATTTTCTAGACGACTTGCAAGCATTTCTTTTCGTTTACATCTGTAAATATTAAATGAGAAAATACATTACTCGCCCACCGAGCTCAGAAAATAACCGATTTTTAATGAATTGAATCAAGAAAGGAAAACTAACTTTGGGCGGAGCCAAAGTTGAATAGGACGCCGAGATCATAAGCCTGAGTTAATTTCTCTAAGGCAAGACTGAAAAGACTGCATTGGGTAGAGATGGATTTGTACTGAAGACAAAGCATTACGTCATCTGCATATGTAAAAACTAATGAGTTCGTTAAAGCAGGGGGCAAGTCATTTATAAAAAGATTAAATAACAACGGACCAAGATGTATTCCTTGAAGAACGCCAGATGTAGCACGGACCAGACGGGAATGTATGTTTTTAAATAAGACTCTTTGTGCCCTTCCATCTAGGTAGCTGGATATCCACGTTAAGAGGTCGGTAGAGAATCCCCACATATTCAGTTTACTCAACAAGAGTGAGTGATTCACTGAATCAAATGCTTTTCTAAAGTCTGTGTAAATTACATCGGTTTTATATCCCTTACGAAAGCCATCTATGACAAAGGATGTCAACTCCAATAAGTTTGTGGTGGTGGAGCGACGCCTAATAAAGCCATGCTGACAAGGAGTGATAATCGAAGAGCAAAGGTGTTGCAAATGAGGGGTAATTAATTTTTCAAATAACTTTGGAATTGCCGACAACTTAGAGATGCCTCTGTAGTTGGCAGCCTCGGACTTATTCCCTTTTTTATGTAGGGGAATTATAAATTCCTTCCACTTAAGGGGAAAAATCGAGGTTTCCAAAGATAAGTTGAAAAGTCTTAGAAGAGGTTTGCACAGAGCCCAGGCGCAGTATTTTAGCACACAGCCTGGTACTCCATCGAGGCCAGGCGAATAAATGGGTTTGACATTTAGAAGATCAGATATGGTAAGACTGGTAATAAGCTATTCTCGGAGAAAAACGGACAGAGAATCTTATTCTGATAATTGAATGTTGTATGCGTAAGGCTGATTTGTCAATTTAGGCGGAGAATAAGTTGTTTGAAAAAATTCTGAGAATAGATCGGCAATGGCCTGATCAGAGGTCGCAGATGAATTTTCAAACGTAAGCAGTGGTGGGAAAGATACATGTTTACGCTTTGTGTTTACAAAATTAAAAAACTGCTTCGGATCCTGAATAAGTTGTATCCGGCAGCGACGAATATAATTCCTGTAACATTCAGGGTTATGCACGGTAAAATTTGACCGAGCTAGTAGATATCTTAAGAAATCAATGCTACTGAAGATTTTTTTTTATGTTAGTAAGAGCCTATTTTTAGTAACCTAACCTAAAAAGGTTAGTGAGGCACAAAAAATGTATTTTAAGTACAGTAAAATTTTTCTAAGGTGACATTAAGATCGGTGCATGCCAGAATATCAGACCAATATATGTAAAGGGGGAAGTTCTGGAGATAGCAGTAACATCAGGATCATTGGATAATTTGACCTAGGGACAGTCAAACATGCCCGCGGTGAAGTCATGGTGCGTGATAAGTGATAAAGATGGTGAGTTATCGACGTTGGACCACTTTTATTCTGGGATATTATGTGGGCGGTTTGGTGGGCGGTTCAGACGAAGGCGGTATATATGAACATGTAATGTATAAAGATTTGGCGGACAAAAGGATTTTAATGCAAATAAATTCTATGTCCCCAAGCTCTTGTGATTTCACTTCTTTAGAAGAGGTGAAACCCCCTTCGCCGAGGTCTAGCCCGTCTAAAAGTGGTGTAATTACTTGGAAAAGCTTCGTTGCTAAAGATATCCGGCTTTAACCAAGTTTCTGTAAAGGCTACAATATGGGATGCAAAGAAAAAACTATCAGAATATAGTTTTCGGAGCTTGCTACATAGCCCCCTAGTATTCTGATAAGTAAGTGTTAGTGACTAATCTTTTTTTTTGGGTTAGTGGGCGGAGATGAGGATGATCTGTGGTTCTGATATGGGGAAGTTTCACTCCCACTGGTTTTAAAACTTTTTTCTTCATGGAACCTTTCACCTAAGAGGAAGACAGAAAAGCGATCCAAAAAAAAAAAAATAATAAAATCTGGGGTAACCCAATATAAGCGAAAAGACGCTGAACCACAATTTGTTAAGTGCAATATACAAGCTTTTTATAACAGTTGTGATGTGCTAAATCAAAACTTGTGCATTATTTTAAATAAATAAGTGCCACGAAATGAGCTTATTGAGCAACGATCAAAAGAACGAGCGTAGAAGTTCAGTGAACCAAAAAAACGGCTTCTACTCTTACTTTTCAACATGCGATACCGAAGTGGAAAAATCGGCGATTAGGAGCAACCCGGCTCTACTGACTGCTCAAACCCAAAAGGCACGGTCTTGCTCACCCGCTCTGGTCACTTCGACTCCCGCGTCATGGAGTTTGCAGTGTAAAACCCAAGCCCCCTCAAATCCATATCAGGGAGAAAAGCTCGAGTGCCCTGGTCAACCGAATTGCGGCGTTGATCGGAAACGGTGACAACTTTCATGTTGTCCCGCTTATTAAAGGAAATATCCATGAAACAAAGGTGCAAACCAAGACTGAAGAGCACTTCCGAATCGTGTCCAATTTCTGGACACTGAACAGAAAAACTATTACACGTACCAGCTGAAAAGCAGTAAGGGCCTACAAGTGGTAGTAAAGGGAATAGAACCTGATGTTACCGCCGCGGAAATAAAAACCGCCCTTAAAGAAAAGGGCTTCGCCGCCAATAATGTTATTAACATTCTAAATAAAGTTAAAAATCTTAAAACTCCTCTCTAAGGTCGAGCTCGAGCTAGAAAGCAGGTCGCTGAAGAAGAACGAAGTCCACCCAATCTACAATCTGCAATATCTTAAGCAACGGAAAATCACTGTTAAAGAGCCGCATAAACGGAACGGTCCAGTGCAATGCACTAATTGCCAAGAGTATGGACACACTAGGTCATACTGCACACTTCGGGCTGTGTGTATAGTGCTCGGGGACGACCACAACTCCGCTCACTGCACTACAAACAAGGAGAGTACCGTAAAGAAATGTGGATGCTGCGGAGGCAACCATACGGCAAACTATAGAGGATGTATGGTGTACAAAGAGTTAAAGAGTTAAAGTTAAAGAAACGAACGCAACGCGCAACCAAAATCCACAGAATGCAACCACTCATTCGGTCCACTAAACACCACAAACGGCTTCTCCTATGCCGATGCTCTACGATCTGGAAGGGAAATTCCTACTCGGACTAACTCTCAAAGCGCTCAAGAGGCCCCAGAACTATGATGCTTACCCCCCAACAAAGTATGATGGAGCTTATGTCATTCATGAAACCGACCATGCAAGCACTTGTACAACACCAGAACATGGTGATACAGTTGCTCAGTTAGACAAAAGTCTAAATAATCTACGCAGGCTCTACGAATATCAATGTGGAACGCCATTGGTGTCTCACGGCATAAACTAGAATTGTCACAATTCTTGACCGAAACCATATTAACGTTATGCTACTGAGAACGCATTAAACACCATTTTCACAGAAGGTTTGCAACAATTTTCTTGCAGGCCACATGGATACAAATTCAGTCAAGCAACGGAATACTTTTATTCGCTGCCGTTTACAGCCCTTCTCGTTTCTCAATCTCGGAAGGACCATTTATTTATTATTTTATTTATTTATTATTATTTATTTATTTATTTTATTGCTGAACGTTGCTTTTATTTTTTGAATCTTCTCTTTGCGAGACTAACAAGAGGTTATCAAATCTTATATTTTTAACTTAACTAACAGTCATATTGACTGATACAGAGCTAGACGGCCCTAGAAATCGATTGCTGGGTTGGGAGGTCATTGCGTCTCAGGCGGGATACGCTAGAAACCCGAGTCAATCCCCGAGCGAGAAAATTTGGGTGCGAAAACAGTTTTTCTTTGTATGACTCTTTTTGCTTCTGGATTTCGTCTTTCACAGCGAGTATGCCCAGATCCCGGTGAATGTTTTCGTTGCGAACATACCAAAGTGCCCCTGTGATAGTTCTCAAGATTTTTGATTGTGCGCGCTGTATGATGTCTATGTTGCTGCTGCTCGCGTTCCCCCACAGCTGGGAGCCATACTTCCAGATTGGCTTTAGGACTGAATTGTTCAGTAGTAACTTGTAGTACAGGCACAGTGGCGATCGTGAGTTTATGATCCAGTGGAGGCTGCTGGCTTTCAGTTTTAGGTGCATCTTTTTGCATTCGATGTGCTTACGCCAGGTAAGTCGTCTATCAAGGTGGACGCCAAGGTTCGTTACTTCGTTAGCTTGAGGGATCTGCATACCGTTTAGTTAAAGCGGAGGGCATGTTTGTCTGTTAAGAACGTTATATGCTTACACTTTTGTTCATTTATTTTAATGCACCAGTCGGACAGCCACCTTTTCACTATTAGAAGATGATTAGCTAGTTGTGTTGTTGCCTGTGTTGGGCATCTGGAGCGACTAAGGATAGCGGTATCATCGGCGAACGTTGACGTTGTTAATTGTGCGCTCGTAGGAATATCCGCAGTGTACAAAACATATAGACACGGGCCGAGTGCGCTTCCTTGTGGAACTCCAGCTTCGCTGGTGTAGTCGCCCGAAGTAGCTGCGTTGCATCTTACTGAGAATACCCTATTGTAGAGGTATGATTCCAGTAGCTTGTGGGTGTATGTTGGCAAATACGTTTTAATTTTGTGCATGAGTCCGATGAGCCGAACTCGGTTGAAAGCTTGAGATACGTCGAGGAAAATAGCGCTGCGGATGTGAATCTGTTCACTTGTTCGATGGTTCCGTGGTTTCTTCGGAAGCCAAATCGATGTGCCGGGATAATATTGCAAGCTTCCAGATGTGGTATTATGCGAGTTAATAAGCATTTTTCAAACAATTTAAACAAACAAGATAGAAGGCTTATTGGTCTATATGACGACGGAATTGTGTGGTCTTTTCCAGGCTTCGGTATCATTATAATGATGGATTTCTTCCACTTTTTTTGGAAATAGCCAAGA